TTCTATACCTGGAGGTCGTCTTCGTTATAGTACCCCCCTTAGTTCGATTTCTTTGGCACGTCGCCCTCCTAGTCGAAGTCCTTTTCTCCGTGATTCTTATCACGAGTCTTTTCGTTGTAGTTGTCTTCTTCGACGTCAAGGTCTACATGTTTCCCACTTCCAGTAGGAATGTCGTTCCCAACCTTCTCTTTCTGTCCGTTGTTGGCCCTCTATTCTCCTTTCTTTCCCACTGACAGTGCCAAATTGTGTGAGTAGATTTCTGACCACACTGCCAAACTAGTACTTAGCTGGAGAGCATCAGCAGAATAAATTAGGCCCAAACAACCTGTCACAGAAAGATATGAATCCCACGGTGGTTCATCCACTCGGGGGCACTCCGACGATCAAGTCAGTAAAATATCTCTCAAAGATAACCAAAAGTACTTAACTCACTTGACAAAGCATAAAAGACATACCTTAGACCCATGGAGGTGCCTCCCTTTTATAGCCAACACAATCCTAGTCCCAATAGAAGCCTAGCTCTAATGGACTTAGGATTACTGCTAATCTTGGACTCCCAGTAGAATTAGGATAAACTCTCTAAGAGTCTTATCTTTACCCAAACTGAAGTTCTCTTTCATTCTAGGACTCTTGTCCCTTATCCGCTTATCCCGAATTCCGATATCTTCGCAGATAACCTTGGCCTAGCCGAGATTACCTCGACGTCATGACCAGGACACGTGGCACCCCAGCTGGCGCTTCGGTGACACCTCGGCTACGTGTCGTTATTCAAAAATTATGTCCCCACAGTACTTTTTGGCATAGGCCCTCAGGCTCTCGTCCTCGCCAATTTTCAGAGCCATTAAGGCATCCACCCTTAATGGTTGTAGTTTGTTTGTCACGAACCTGGCCACAAATATCTTGGCCAGGCCTTCCTAGGTTTCCATAGTTCCTTTCGGCTACTTGTGAAACCAGTCTGATGCAATTTCTCCGAAGGATGAAGGAAACACCTTGCAAAGCAACGACTCATTCCCGGTATATAACGCCATCGAGTTCAAGTACAAACCGACATGAAAGCTGCGGTTCGACTTCTCATCATAGATCTGGAATCTTGGCATGCTAAACCTCTTCGAGGCTTCGAATTTGTCCAATTCTGCCGAGAATGGCGTTCTCGGCTTGACCGGGGAGGTTACCTCGGAATCTTGTTGCCTCTTCTATAGGTAATCCCTTAGGTCCTCCTTGGTCCGACTAGGAGCTCGGCTATCTCTTGACTTCAGCCTTTTAGGTGCACTACTCTCACCTTCGTTGTGAGCCCTCTTCGACCTTTCTCCATTAGTTGCGTCGAAGCACAACTCATGCCTTTGAACATGCCGATGTTCTTTGGGGTTTGCTTCCTTGGTGTAATGTGTCCTTCGAGATTCTTCCCTTCTCGACTCTCCTCGCCCGACCTCCCTTGAAGGGCGGTGAGAGTGTTTTTCACTCCTGGTGTGCCGAGGGACTATAGGGACTGTTTTCTGCCCATCTTGTCGGGCATCTTTCTTAGTCGCTGGAATCGGTGTATCTTGCAACGGGAACGGTGGCTGCATGACGTTGTTCTGCATCATGAAATTGATGACCGTTTACAGGTCCACCAATTTGTTCGCCATTCCCTTTACCTCATCGTCCCTCCGTAGGCATCTATCCTTCCATACCTGAAGGTCGTCGTCGTTGTAATACCCGCTTTGGTTCGTTTTCTTTGGTACGTCGCCTTCCTGACCGACGTCCTTTCCACCGTGATTCTGATCACGAGTCTCTTCGTTGCAGTTGTCTTCTTCGACGTCAAGGTCAACAGGTTTTCCACTCCCAATAAGAGTGTCATCCCCAATCTTCTCTTTCTGTCCGTCATTGGCCATCTATTCTCCTTTCTTTCCCACAAACGGTGCCAAATTCTGTGTGTTAATTTCTGACCACACTGCCAACTTTGTATTCAACTAGAGAGCACTGGCGGAATAGATAGTGCTTGGATGATGTGCAACAGAAAGAAGAGATTCTGATAGTGATTCGTCCACCCGGGGGCACTCTAATGATCAAGTCAGTTATCTCTCAAAGATAGAAAAAGTGCTCAATTTACTATTCAGGGCATAAAAAGCGTACCTTAGACCCATGGGGGTACCTCTCTTTTATAGCCAACACAATCCTAGTCCCAATAGAACCTAACTTCAATGGATTTAAGATTACTGCTAATCTTGGACTCCCAGTAGGATTGGGATAAACTCTTTAAGAGTTTTATCTTTATCCAAACTAAAGTTCTCTCCTATTCTAGGACTCTTGCCCCTTATCCGCTTATTTCGGATTCCGGTATTCTCGCAGATAACCTCGGCCTAGCCGAGATCACCTCGGCGTTATGACCAGAACACGTGGCATCTCGACTGGCACTTCGATGACACCTCAACCACGTATTATCATTCAAAAATTATGTCCCCACAAAACCTAATAAGAAAAAAGTTTTTTCTTGCCTGAGAAGCACATTTTATGAAAAGTAAACAAAAGTTCTCTTTATAAGTAAAAGTTTGTAGTTTATAGTGTACTTTATCTGTTTATAGGCTATCCTACGTTATTTACAAGTCATTCTTTAGAATTTTTAGTGAACTTGCAGGAAAGTGTGGCATTTCGTTTTCCCCTCACCCTAAGTAAATTGCGGTACTATTTGATATAAATTAAATAAGTATATTTATTTAAATAAGTGTATTTATTTTAATTATATTATTTTTCTATTTTTTTATATATTTTTTCATAAAAAATTAAAAAAATATACTTATTTAGATTATACTAAACAATCACTTAATTCTAAAGTTTTCTTCTTCTTCTTCTTCTTCTTCTTCTTCTTCTTCTCAACGATTTTTTGTTTTTATCTACAAAAAATAAAAACAAAAACATGTTTTACACGTGGTTTAAATTTTTATTCTGAAAACCAATAAAATGGTTGATCGGCAGGAGGTGATGATTGAAGGTGATTGTTAACTATCAGAGATGATTTATTATGTGAAATCTAACTTATTAAAATTAATAAATTAGAGAATAAATAAATAGTAAATGAGAAAATACACATTAATGGATATTGTAAATTTAATTAATTACAGCTTGTGAATTATGAATTTAATAAAAAAAAAAAAACTGTTTGGTTACTATTAATCTTTTTTAAATAAGTTAAAAAACTCATTCTTTCTATTTTTTTACATTTTTTTTTGTAAAAAATCAAAAAATTATTAAAAAAAATTTTTCTCAAAACAATCTAACTATCTTAAAAGATAGTTACATGAATTACTGAACCAACTATCATATCCTAAATGGACGTTTCACCACACAAAAATTGTATTTCAATCAAACATTATTTGTTTTTTTGAATATTTTTTTGTTTCCGAGTTCTTAATATCTCTAAAATAAAAGAATAAAATAAAACAAAATAAAAGCTGTTCTATTTTGATTTTTTTTTTTAAAAAAAAATCCGTGGTAGCAGTGATTTGAATAGTATTTTCCTTTTCATAGTCGGCAAGATGGCGACATGTGTAAAGAGACTTTCAAAGTGATTTAAAAGAGACTTTCCGCCATGCAACTACCATGAACCTAGCTCCAAGTTGGAAGCAGTGAGTGAGTGTGTGAACGAACTCTAGTGGTTCGTGGTATGGGCCCACGAAACACGACTAACATTAAAAGTCTTAGATCACTGTTGCTTTGGTTGAGTTTGGATGTTTGCGTATCTCTCGGGTGTTTAGTATAATAAAAATAAGTTTATTAAGTAGAAAATATTTTTTATGATTAACGAAAAATAAGTTTACTTGAATAGAAAATATTTTTTGCTTCTAAATTTTTTAAATTAAAATCTTACATGTCACTACATTATTACTGTAACTTTCACCTCCACCACCACACCACTATCACTACCTCCACTGCTATCATCACTACCATCATCACTACCATCAAACATAGAAAAATATTTTATCTGAAATTTTTTTTTGAAATATTTAATATTTTATCTGAAAAAAAATTTTGAAATATTTTTTTTGCCCAAACAATAGAGGGTAAGAATTTGATTTTGTTCATATATTTAAAGAGTGTGGTACTTAAAAAAGTGTATTAACAATACATAATTTTTAATGAATGCAAAATTGTGAGGTTTATAATTTTGAGTAGGATGAATATACTCAAAAGGTGGTGGTTTAAACCCAAAACACAATTAATTAAGTAATTGAATGGTTTAAACTTTGGAATATAAAAAAGAGACCCAATTTATTCTTCCCTCCCTGTGTTGTTTTGGCCTTGTTGGCCCACTACATGTTCTGTTTTAATGATTCAAACAATTCATTATATAAAGTTTTTTATGTATATTATTCATAGAAATACATAATTTTTAATGAATGCAAAATTGTGAGGTTTATAATTTTGAGTAGGATGAATATACTCAAAAGGTGGTGGTTTAAACCCAAAACACAATTAATTAAGTAATTGAATGGTTTAAACTTTGGAATATAAAAAAGAGACCCAATTTATTCTTCCCTCCATGTGTTGTTTCGGCCTTGTTGGCCCACTACATGTTCTGTTTTAATGATTCAAACAATTCATTATATAAAGTTCTTTATGTATATTATTCATAGAAAAAATAGATCTAATAATCAAAACATTTTTATTTTTATTGCATTTGTCACCAAAAAAAAAGAAAAGAAAAAAGATGATTTATTTTTAAAAAACACTTTTTCTCTATTTTTTTTTAGAGACAAATATAATAAATTGAATTAATTATGATTATTGGATCGATCTCACGAAAGACTCTTATAAAATAAACTGTTTCATTATCGAAATAAGATCTGTGATGAAATCTGGACAATATCCTTTAGTCCAAATCTAAAATTGAAGGAAAGCCCAGTCTAAATTTTTATTTTTATTATTTTAATTTATATAGTGCTACTCTATCCAAAGTCAGCATCATTTTAAGGTTTCTTCATCAACTTGAACATGATTCTCTATAAATAGCACCTATAGACGGATCTTTATCTACAAGTAATTAACTTTTCACCTATAGACACATCATTCTCCATTGTTGACTCTGCGTTTCATTCTGTTCCATCTATTTTCAATCTTTCTTACTAACTGTCTACCATAATGCAAGCAAACATGCACTGCATCGAACCTTTACACAACGTGCCAATCACTAACCTTAGCATACCCATCAAGAGATGGCGCTTGGCTTTCTCAACTATCTACTGTTCAAGAGCCTTGTACTCTCATTTCAAACAAATCGTAGCAAACAAACACTCCAAATACCAACGTTCACCATCCTACACTGCCCTCAATGTCAACCTAGACCCACCCAACTCCTACAAGATTAATCAAAACAGCCTCACGCAACTCATGAAGCAAAAGAATGTAGAAGATCTTGCTCAACTTGGAGGACTTGAAGGCATAGCTTTGGCTCTTGACACTGACTTGGAAAATGGGATTCATTGTGATGATGAGGACATTGCATATAGACATGAAGCTTTTGGCTCAAACACTTATTGCAAGCCACCCACAAAGAGCTTGTTTCATTTTGTGTGGGAGGCTTTGAAGGACCCAACCATTCTCATCCTTTTAGTTTGTGCTGCAATGTCTCTTGGTTTTGGCATCAAACAACATGGCCCAAAAGACGGGTGGTATGATGGTGGAAGCATAGTTATTGCTGTCATTCTTGTCATCACAGTCTCGGGCGGAAGCAACTTCAAACAGAACAAGCAGTTTGACAAATTATCTGAAGCGAGCGATAATGTCCAGGTTGATGTTGTGAGAGGAGGGAGAAGGCAACAGGTTTCAGTGTTTCAAATTGTACGACACGGTGAGAGTGAAAAGACTGAAAGAGAGGGGGAGACTGCTGATGGGTTGTTCATAGATGGGCAGTCGTTTGAAGTCGATGAATCGAGCATGACAGGGGAAAGTGATCTTGTAGAAGTGAATCGAAGCATCAATCCATTCTTGTTCTCTGGAACCAAGGTAATGTTGGAATTAATTTAGAATTTAGTAATTAAATCAAATATATTTAAAAAAAATTCAATTCTTGTATTAGAGAGTCTTTAAAAGTTTAGTCACAAGTATGTTCAAAGTAGACCTCTGTATACAGGGCTGACCGGGCTAAGGCAAACTAGACTTGTGTCTAGGATCTCAAAAATTGGCTCAAAATAAGGCTCCCAATTTTAGGAAGAATTCTATTTGTACTCAAAAAATTATTAACTATGTCTGATTTCTCAATACAGCTACTCATTTTGTTCACATACAAGAACCAATCGAATTATTCTGTATAACATCATATTTATTTATGTCTTCCTACTAATAACACCATGAAACTCTTAGTTCGAATAAAGGTAGTAGAGACTCGTACTTACGAAGGTTCTCCGCCTTACACCAAGAGTTGAAAACAGACTCGTGCTTGTCGATGCCAAAGAATGGTAGTTGTATCCTGAGGCTACAATCTACAGAACTGCCACTATATTGTTGAAACGTTTAGGAACTATTTGTCTTTCCCCTTTCTTTAAAAAAGAAAAAGAAAAAATGATTCAACTGATTCAAAAAATTTATAAAAAAAGGAAAAAAATCTTGTAAAGCAAATTCACGGTGAAATTTTAACATATCTTTAGTTTTGTTCTACCCTAATGTAATCATTGGTTTTATTCTTCTTTATTTTTTATAACATATTTTATGTTATCATTGGTTTTCTTGAAGATGTTTGGAAGATTTGGATTAATGAAACATCAAGAGACTTTTCATGAAAAAATAATGATACATATTGTGTTTTTATTTTCTTCTATTTGTAGGTAATAACACAACAAAAAACAATGATACTGCTAATAATGGTAAATTTTGATGGGATAGATTGGAGTTTTAAAGTGAGAAAGAAAATGAAGAGAAAATAATTGAAACTTGAAAAAGAAAATGAAGAAAATAAAATATGAAGAATATGTATAAGTGGTTTGGGTATACCATAAGCAAAAAATAATATTTTTTTATGATTTATTGTGTATTGTCCTTATTAGTAAATTTACATTAAGTATAATATGAACTAAAATTTCAAAATTTTAATTAGATTTACTAAGTTATTATTTGGGTATAAATAGAATCACCCCAATTTTAACGTTGTAGTATATTTAAAATTCAAATAAGGCCAATATCTTTTATTAATGGGAAAATTACTTGGAAGGCCAATATCTTTTATTAGTCTCATAACCTTTTGAATATTCTCAAAAGTCCACTACGTATTTTTCTTTTTTATTCTTCTCTGTGTTCGTTTTTCTCTACCTCTTTCTCTTCTTGATTTTTGGTGACCGGCGACTATCTTTACTTCTTATCTTTCTCTTTCTAATATATAATTACTGGTGACCGATGACCGTCATTGCTTAGGTTCACCAGCAACCACTGATCACCGACTCCTTACTTTACTCTTACCGATGGCAAAAGAGACGAATATCACACAAAGAAGATGAGTAGATCTACTCAGATCTCAAATCTGACTAGATCTAAACCAAAAATAGTTGCCGGAGTACAATATTCTCTCTATATCTGTTTCTCTCATTCAATTTATCAATTTTTCTACATTTTCTCTACTACACACATCTATTTTTCTATTTTAATAGAGAAAATTTTCAAGTTTTGAACAAGTTGTTTTTAAGTTTTAGTTACAGGCGGTGAAAACTGTAAAATTTTACAGTTTCAATTTTTTGTACTGAAATGAATCATGCTTTAAAACTGTAAAATTTTACAATTTCATAACATGTTTTTCAATTTGATTAATAAGGATAAATACTTAATAGAATCATATTTTAAAACTGTAACATTTTACAGTTTCAAAACTTACTTTTCAGTTTGATCAATATTAGAAATTATTTGCTTAAACCGTACAAAAATTGAAAAATAATATATACTTTTTCCATTGTTGTTTGTTGTTGTTATTTTATTTTTATTTGTTTCCCTTTCAATTTATTAGTATTTAGTACATTTTGTTATGTTTTTTCACTATAATTTCTCCATTTTTTTTTGGTAATATTCTGGACATTCCAGCGACTTTCAGTGACGTTCAGAACACTCTAGCGATACTTCAATGAACTTTCGGCGACTTCTCGGTGATGTTGAATATTTCGGCAAGTCTCCGGTGACTATTTGACGGAAGTTTGACAGTGGTGGGACATAACAGCGTTTTCAAATTCATAAAAAATAAATAAATAAAATAAAAAGATTTTTTGATAACAATTAAAAATATGTAAAACTAATTGGTGCAAATGTTTTATTTTAGAACTAAATGAATTTTGAACTTTGTGTATAGAACTTACTAGTAAAGAGTAATGCTAGAGACCCCAAAAGTTTTATCAAATTTTCTACCAAATGTCTCACATGGGTGTAAGTCTCACACCCATGTGAAACATTTGATTAACAATTTGATAAAATTTTTAAGATCTCTAGCATTATTGTACTGGTACATGCCCCTTTATTAATTGAGACAGGTAAATTACAAATACATCCCTGAAATTTGCTTAAAATACGAATTGTCTCATGTGATTTGAAAAATTACAAATATCTCTATGTCAGAATTTTTTATTTAACAGAATTAATTGAAAATGTGAAATTTCTAACTGTTCACCTATACAATAATAAAATTATCTGAATTATTAATTGAAATAAAATTTTAACATTATTAAAAACTGTTAATTGACTTGATGATTTTTTAATAAAAGGGCTTATTTATTATGAAATTAAAAATCTTAGGGATATAATGTGATTTCAAGAACTATAAAAAATAATTTATAATTGGGATACTTACATGTAGGTCCTAATAAGTGGACTTATTATCTAATAGGTCCTATGAAAAATTTGTCATAAAAAAGTCACTAATTGTAAATTTTAACGACAATTTATAAAAATCATGACAAAAAGAGTCACTAATTGTCAATTATTAGCGACATATATAAAAAATTATCACAAAAAAATTATTTTTGGCAATAATTTTATCAAAATTTATTTTTAATAGGACTTAATAAAAATTAAATCAAACTATTATAATTTATTAGTAATTTACCTTTATAATTTAATAAACATCAGAAAGTGTGTTTGTAATTGACCAATTGAGACCCAGTAAAGAGCCCAAAAAATCATGTTGGACTCAATTAAGAAAATAATTTATTTGTATGTTTTGTTGAGCCCAATCTGACTTTATATGAGTTATTTAAAACAGTCATGCATTTTACGTTATAATATATCATAATTTTACACGGCATGCATTAGTATGTAGTGAAAATTCTTACCAGAAAAATTTTGGGCTACCGCCTGTGGTTTGAAAAATTACAAATACCTCCCTGTCATAATTTTTTATTTAACAGAATTAATTGAAAATGTGAAATTTCTAACTGTTCACCTATACAATAATAAAATTATCTGAATTATTAATTGAAATAAAATTTTAACATTATTAAAAACTGTTAATTGACTTGATGATTTTTTAATAAAAGGGCTTATTTATTATGAAATTAAAAATCTTAGGGATATAATGTGATTTCAAGAACTATAAAAAATAATTTATAATTGGGGTACTTACATGTAGGTCCTAATAAGTGGACTTATTATCTAATAGGTCCTATGAAAAATTTGTCATAAAAAAGCCACTAATTGTAAATTTTAACTACAATTTATAAAAATCATGACAAAAAAAGTCACTAATTGTCAATTATTAACGATATATATAAAAAATTATCGCAAAAAAATTATTTTTAGCATTAATTTTATCAAAATTTATTTTCAATAGGACTTGATAAAAATTAAATCCAATTATTAGAATTTATTAATAATTTACCTTTATAATTTATATAAACATCAGAAAGTGTGTTTGTAATTGACCAATTGAGACCCAGTAAAGAGCCCAAAAAATCATGTTGGACTCAATTAAAAAAATAATTTATTTGTATGTTTTGTTGAGCCCAATCTGACTTTACATGAGTTATTTAAAACAGTTAATAGGTCCTATTTAAAACAGGGTCCATACTCTACCATCAAAATAGCTTCTATATATTCATCAATTGATATATTAATATATGTTATGATATTATTATTAATCTTATTTATTACATAAATTATAAATATTTAAAATTTTTAAAATTATAACATATTATCTGTTAATACACTAATTATTATTTGTTATTATTATTATTATTGCTTTATATTTCTAAATCCGTTTAAGTTTTACTGTGTGTTATTACGCTTTGAGCTACTTGTTATCTTTATAAGTTTGGTTCAATCATTAATATTGTATGTGAAAACAGATTCTTTACGCTGTGTTTGGTTGAGGGATTTGGAAAGGGAAAGGAAAAAGGTGTGTGAAACTAGATGAAATATAGACATGTTTTATTCACATTTCACCTATCTTTTCCATTTCCCTTTCCAAATCCCTCCTCAAATCCCTCAACCAAACGCAGTATTAAAGAATCTGAATATATTCTGTCTCTCTATGTTTTAATGTGCCTTGAAATATAACCTTTGCAAATATGAGGAATTTTTTCATTACATAATTTGCATTTGTAAGTTGATTTTTGTGAAATGTGGATTGAAATGTGATTGATTATATAATTATGCTTATTATAAAAAAAAAAGAAAAAAAAAAGAAGTAAAAAATAGAATAATTAAAGAACATGACTAGATTTTTATCTTTTTAAAGTTATTCTTATCGTAATCTATGTAAATAAATTTTAGTAATTATACATGTAAATAATTTTTGTGTGTATTAGCAAATATATATATATATATACAAATTGTAAGTGCTTAATATTTTATCTACAAATTATTATTTTTGATAAAAGGACTCAATTTTATAAATCTGCCTAAGACCTCATAATACTGAAGGCCGACCCTTTATGTGTATATAAAGAGATATGTTGTCATTTTTTGTGATGTATAAAGAAGTAGAACAAAATTTAAAAATAAAGAATGAGAAATGTTACAGATCATGAAAATTTTGTCATGAAAAGAATCATGAAAAATTTGTGACCCTTAAATTACCTTGATTAGTGTGTGGTGCTTTATTGTAAGTATAATTCGAAGGTCATAAATTTTTCATGACTATTTTCATGAAAGATTTTTCATGATATCTAGCATTGCTGATAAAGAATACAAATTGCTTGCAGAGAATAAATGATTATTTTCAACAGGTAGCTGATGGGTTTGCTCGGATGCTTGTCGCTTCGGTTGGAACCAACACCACATGGGGTAAGATGATGATCAAAATCAGCCACAACTCCAGTGAGCAAACGCCATTACAGACCCGTCTCAACAAGCTGGCCTCAGCAATCGGCAAGGTTGGTTTGGCAGTGGCTTTCCTAGTTCTCTGATGAGCACAATCAGCCGCGACACCAACGAGCAAACTCCTTTACAAGCCCGGCTCAACAAACTAACCTCGGCCATAGGCAAGGTTGGTTTGGTTGTTGCTTTCCTAGTTCTAGTGGTGTTGTTGGTTCGGTATTTCACAGGCAATACAAAAGATGCAAATGGAAATACAGAGTTCAATGGAAGCAAGACAAAAGTTAATGACATTATTAATTCTGTTGTGGGGATTGTAGCTGCTGCAGTAACTATTGTTGTTGTTGCGATTCCTGAAGGCTTGCCATTGGCTGTCACACTTACTCTTGCATATTCGATGAAGAGAATGATGGCTGATCAAGCCATGGTTCGAAAGCTTTCAGCTTGCGAAACAATGGGCTCTGCCACTACTATATGTACTGACAAAACAGGCACACTTACACTGAATGAAATGACAGTCACAAAGTTTTGGCTAGGCCAAGATTGCATAGAAGGAAGAGGTTCAAGTACCTCAATTGCAGCCAATGTTCTTGAATTGCTCTGCCAAGGAATAGCTTTGAACACAACTGGCAGTGTCTACAAGTGCACTTCAGGATCCGAATTTGAGTTATCGGGTAGTCCCACTGAAAAAGCAATTCTTTCTTGGGGATTCCTAGAATTGAACATGGACATGGCAGTGTTGAAAGAAAATTGTATGGTTCTCCATGTTGAGGCCTTCAATTCGGAGAAGAAACGAAGCGGGGTTTTAATGAAGAGAAAATTTGACAACACGGTCCATGTGCACTGGAAAGGAGCTGCAGAAATGGTACTCGCGATGTGCTCTCATTACTATGATTGTTCTGGAAACATGAAAGTTCTGGGTGATAGTGAAAGAATGAGATTTGATCAAATAATTCAAGGCATGGCTGCTAATAGTCTCCGGTGCATCTCTTTTGCTCATAAGAAAATCTCAGAAGCAGAGCATGCAGCAGGAGAAGATGATCAGAAGCTAAGTGAAACCTGCTTAGCCCTATTGGGGATGGTGGGTCTGAAAGACCCATGTCGACCCGGTGTGAAGAAAGCTGTGGAAGATTGTCAATTAGCTGGAGTAAGCGTCAAAATGATCACTGGCGATAATATTTTCACTGCAAGAGCAATTGCCACCGAATGTGGGATACTCAGGCCAAATCAGGACATAGGCAATGAAGCAGTAATAGAAGGTGTGAAATTTCGAAACTACACACCTGAAGAGCGAATTGAAAGAGTTGAAAAAATTTGTGTGATGGCCAGATCTTCCCCCTTGGACAAGCTTCTAATGGTGCAATGCTTGAAACAGAAAGGTCATGTTGTCGCGGTCACTGGGGATGGCACGAATGATGCACCGGCCTTGAAGGAAGCAGACATAGGCCTTTCTATGGGGATTCAGGGGACTGAAGTGGCGAAAGAGAGCTCGGACATTGTCATATTGGATGATAACTTTGCTTCTGTAACCACGGTCTTGTGTTGGGGTAGATGTGTTTATAACAACATCCAAAAATTCATCCAGTTTCAACTCACTGTGAATGTAGCTGCACTTGTCATCAATTTTGTGGCAGTTGTTTCAGCCGGTGAAGTTCCTCTAACCACGGTCCAGCTTCTGTGGGTGAATTTGATCATGGACACATTAGGTGCTCTGGCTCTAGCCACAGAGAAGCCCACAAAGGAGCTCATGACAAAGCTGCCGGTGGGTCGAACCGAGCCACTTATCACCAACATCATGTGGAGGAACCTGCTAGCTCAAGCTCTGTACCAAATAGCAGTCCTACTGGCCTTGCAGTTCAGAGGCGAATCAATATTGGGGGTGAATCAGAGTGTGAACAATACTTTGATCTTCAATACTTTTGTGCTTTGCCAAGTCTTCAATGAATTCAATGCACGAAAGCTTGAGAAGAAGGATGTGTTTGAAGGGATATTGAGGAACAGGTTGTTTGTGGGGATCATTGGGATAACCATTGTTCTTCAAGTGGTGATGGTGGAGTTTCTGAAGAAGTTTGCAGGTACAGAGAGGTTGAGCTGGGGGCAATGGGGAGTGTGTGTTGGAATTGCTTCTGTGTCTTGGCCCATTGGTTGGGTTTTCAAGTGCATTCCTGTACCAGAGAAGCCATTTTGCAGCTATCTCAAATGGCAGAACTTGAAATGCGGTTGCAAATAATCAGCTGGAGATTTCAGTACTTAATTTGTAGAATGTGTAACTAGTTCTCTATCAAAAAATTAAAATATTTATAGAAAACCACTGTTGATTATCCGAGCAGAAGGTTACTGCTTGATATTTTCAAACTCTGCTTGTATTGTATCCGTGTGGGAAATTTTCCGACCACACTGCCAACTCAATAATTCAGCTGGAGAGTACTGGCAGAATAGATGGCACCTGACTGACCTGCAATAGAAATATAAGAATCCCGCAGTGGTTCGTCCACCCGGGGGCACTCCAACGATCAAGTCAGTGTATCTCTCAAAGATAATCAATTATTCAACTCACAAGCTTGAGCCTAAAAAGCATACCTTAGACCTATGGGGGTGCCTCTCTTTTATAGCCAACATAAACCTAGTCCCAATAGAAGCCTAACTTCTATGGACTCAGGATTACTGCTAATCTTGGACTCCCAGTAAGATTAGGATAAACTCTCTAAGAGTCTTATCTTAATACAAACTGAAGTCTTCTCTCATTCTAGGACTCTTGTCCCTCATCCAGGTTGAGTTCCCTTTCATTCTAAGACTCTTGTCCCTTATCCACTTATCTCAGATTCCGATATCTTCGGAGATAACCTCGGCCTTACCGAGATCACCTCGGCGTCATAACCAGGACACGTGGCACCTCGGCTGACACATCGGCGTCACCTTGCCACGTGTTGGTACTCAGAAAATATATCTCCACAACTGCCCCCTAGGTTCTATTACCTCGACATTCTGAGGTGATGGAACCTACACTGTTCGTTCATCTGTGCCCCTCTATCTGAGATCAAACTTGCCGACCTCAAAGTTCCCTGGACTTCGCTGTCCACTGGTGTCAAGAATCAAGTTTCATGCTTTCCAAGCTGCTTGAAATCGCACCTTGGGTACCCCTTGGGGCACACCCCAAGTACCAAACCCATTCAAAACTTTCCACCAAATCAATGTGGGACAAACCA